AGTTTTATTGTGGAAAAATTTAATTACCAATCGCCAAATCACAGTAACCCTTCAACGATGACTCAAGTTCATATTCATGCTTTGATGATAGTCTCACGTTGAGTAGATACCTTCCAATGGGCTTCAACCCATTAATATTTTTCATGTCCCCTAAGTCTGCGCATTCTGTTAGTTTCGCTCCTTCATTCATTATTGCTACTGCTTAGCCGTCACCCTTAATAATAGGTTTTATGAACATGTGCAAATATGTGAAATGTGATCTTGTTTGGCTTCCAATTCAGCCAAAAATTTCATTTCAAGATGAGGTGTGATTGACGCTAAAACCATTGGTTGTGTATATGAATGATTATTTAGCAGTTTGGCAATACGGCAAGGATATTAATATTAAGAGGGATGAGAAAGAGGATAACCGAATCATATATTTGAAGATTAGGGAGAGGAAGATTCCCAGGCATTGGCATTGGCCTTGACATGGCCATCATCTGCTCTAAATCCTAGAAAATGGCGTAATCGGGGACGGCAATTGAAGGCTCTTGGGCAACCAGATTTCAGACAATCAGACAGCGCTTTTGATGTTTACCAGCGACCAATCGACAAGCGAGGTAGGAGAAAATGGGACAGAATAAAAATCAGGAGCCCAGTAAACGGCATCTGGTACCGATGGTGGCGATGATTACGCTTCACTAAACCCAATTGTAGACGAGAGCACATAATTGTGTGAAAAGGTAGATGGGCTATATGAAGTGGGAAATATGAATACCAGGATGATCGCAGTCTCCTTTCGATTTATAAAAGTGTGCTGATCTCGTTTTCGCAACTTGGTCTTGTTGTCAAGGCGACTTAGTAGATCACACCTTGCCCGAAGTCCTCTGCCATAGTAATTATCATAATTCCCAGCAGCAGACCGTCTGCTTGGTACATTCTCAGACGTTTTGCCGGCATCGCAATCGGCATCATCAGTGGGTCTTGCCATTCTCTGCACCAAGCTACAACTCGTCAAAGAAAATAAATGGGGCGAGGATTGATGCCAGAACGGTTGAACCGAAGTGGATTACCTGCGCTTGTCACTTTGATTAGTTATAACTCTGTCCTAATGATGGTGCCTCTTACTGACGATGCCTGCGAAATGTTTGGGAATGTACCAAGTCATTGTCCTGATGGTAGAAAAAGCGAAAACTATTACAGAGGACACATGACCAGGTACGCTTCACAACGTCTCGCTGACGCTTCGATCAACTTGCGAAAACGACATCGAACCAACACTATAAAGCAAAAGGAGACTGCGACCAACATAAGGCCACACAATCTTGATCTTCATCGCTATAATTATAATATTAAGCTAAAAATTGAAATATAAGTAGTTAACACTCAAACGTTTTTGGATGTTTGAGTTATTAGAGCCGATTGCAAGTTGGACAGAGATGAATATGGCGGCTTCAGCCACAAAAAAAGTTGCTATGCTAAAATTAAGAATATTCAGAGTTTGTTCATGGCCGATAGTGACTTAAGGAATAATTATTTGAGATTAATTATCTCTAGGCTTGAATCAAAATAGCATAAGCTCAAAGCAAAGTACGTTTTTAAATGAAGAAAATTTGGGAAAAAGTGAATTCGATAAGGTCTTCGAGACTACCAGTAGATCATATATGTGAGAGGTATTCGTTAAAGATGATAAAGGGATGAATTTTTCCACAAGTACATGAGTATAATTTACGTTTTCATTGGATGCCACATGGCTTTGCCTCAAAAAAGTATTCTCATCCCGTCCTGAGTTGATTGCAGTTGACTTTATAATATTGTAGGAAAAGTCAACTCCTAGTCCACTTATTATTAAATGGTTATCTCTAACCTCTACTCATTAGCGAAAAATAAGTAAGGTAATTCATTATTATGGCAAATATGACTTTGCGTCATCGACAACCCACCTCAGAATGTGGTATGGAAAAATGCCTAGCTTTCTGTTAAATCCACATCTGTTCTGTGAAACAAGAACACTCATGGCAATGTGGCGTAATGGTTCACGTGTCGAGGTTATACGCGGCACTACCAAAGTCGGGTTCGAGTCCCTCTGAGGATACTGATGGGGTCAGGACGAGGTCTAAACTGCAGTCCGCCCTTGGTGAGAACATTTTTCGGGAAGCAAGGCTATGTGAAGTTCAATGGAAGCGCAATGTCTACTCGTGTCATTGTAGGAAAAATTCAGCTGTCCCTCCTATATCACCATAGTAAAAATAGGGAACTGGGGCCAAAAATGGTTACCATGGCTACAACGACGTTTTATTCAGTTATAAAGACTTTTATAGTGAAGAGTGACTCATTATCCAGCTTAGGCTTCGATAAAATTTGTCGACAATATTCCTTCTATGTGCATGTAAAGGCTGTTGGGGTTCAAAGGTCAGAGATAAGTGAACACGTGGAAGCCACTGGACAAGATAGAGAATGGGGTTAACCTGTCGTTTTGCTGGTTATAGTATTGTTGCGATGTCCGGTCGGACCCTTTCACGAAGTCTTTCCGACAAACTTTTAATACAAAATGGAAAATTATGTAACAATAAATCACTGAGGAATTCTGCGAAACCCAATTCTTTCCTCATATCTTCGAATACATTATATATATCAGAAATACCGGTAATAGGATGGGAAGAGTGCTGAGCAGCATTAAAACAAAATTCGACTCAACTGATCTTTTGTTATTCCGGATTGCCGGTATGATCACACTTTCTATACGACCTATTTCACTCTATCTATCTTACACACACTAAGACATAAGGATTATCAATTTACTAATAAGCTCATTCGACATTTTGTATTATAAACGGTCATTAAACAATGATCACCAAGGACATACTTCATACTCTGTCATAATCAATTTGAGCCATTACAGCTC